AGTTATTTACAAACCATGAATAAATAAGTAAAGTGTAGTTATTATCAATTTTATTTAAGTTATTTACAAATCATGATTAAATAAGTAAAGTGTAGTTATTATCAATTTTATTTAAGTTATTTACAAATCAGAATTATTAATACGTTCATTTTATTTTTATTATCAATTATTTATTGATTTTATTATTGTTTTTAAACTTTGAATTAACTTTATTATCTTTCACTCGTGTTAACTTTCTCTAATTATTCTAAAATACAATAAGAAGATATTTGGGCAGCTGGTTGTTGACGAATTAATACAATATTGAATTTTTATTGCGTAAAAGCTTGATTTGCATATAAATATCAGATATTTATGCTGTTATGTTGCTTATATTAAAAAAAAATGATCAGCCTACCTCTCAATGCCTGCCAAACGAGATTTGTACTTTTGCGAGAGTAGACAGCCTCCACCCCAAGCAGCCTGTAGAAATATATTAAATTCGTACTGTGTTTAAACCCTAACTAGTTGAAATTTCGAATGCCAGAATTGTCAACTTTCCTTAGTTAATTGCAGTATAAATTATATTGCACAGCCAGACATTTAAAATAGTGTATAATGAAAGCTAAATTTAAAGTCATTATAACAAAATTTTAAAAAAGAAAACAAAAACTTCCGACAAATTGATAACGTATATTTAATTTACCTTTAAATCGTTTGTGAAATTTGTTGATTTTACGCGAACTTAATATGCATTTTTATTCAATATGACGCTTTAATTTCTCATTAAGTAAAGACGATTTTTACAAGAGTTAAGCAGCCTGTAACTACAACAATAAATTACATTATAAAATATAAAAGGCGTACGTTATAAAAATGTTTTGTTGAAGTAATTCAAAACGAACACACACATATTGTAATTGCAATCATAACATCCAACTGGTTTTGACTCCAGCCAACTACATTCAGTAGTTGATCAGCTTATATTCAAACAACAACGTTTGTTCAAACAACCGAGTTGTCTTGACTCCAACCAACCACATTCAGTAGTTGATCAGCTTGTGTTCAAACAGCCGAGTGGTCTTGACTCCAACCAATCACATTCAGTAATTTATCAGCTTATATTCAAACAACAAAGTTTGTGGAAAGAACCAAGTGGTCTTGACTCCAACCAACCACAGTTAGTAGTTGATCAGCGTATATTCAAACAACAAAGTTTGTTCAAACAACCAAGTGGTTTTGACTCCAACCATCCACATTCAGTAGTTGATCAGCTTGTGTTCAAACAACAAAATTTCTTGAAACGACCAAGTGGTCTTGACTCCAACCAACCACAGTTAGTAGTTGATCAGCTTATATTCAAACAACAAAGTTTGTTGAAACAACCAAGTGGTCTTGACTCCAATCAACCACAGTTAGTAGTTGATCAGCTTATATTCAAACAACAAAGTTTGTTCAAACAATCAAGTGGTTTTGACTCCATCCAACCACATTCAGTTGTTGATCAGCTTGTGTTCAAACAACAGTTTGTTGAAAGTTTACACCATAAAATTGTCAAATGTTTCTTGTTCTTACTTTTCATTCCACGAAATATAGATAACTTATATTATCTTGACCTTTGACTTATTGCCACTATTCGATTGACGTCTACATCATGCACAGTTCTGGAATAAATATTGTAATTTATGTACTAAAACACTATAAGTAAAATTTTCCCGTTCACTTTGGCACAAACAATAAGTCAACTCTGAGATCTGCATTAGGAGGGTGTATTTACCAGTAAAAATAATCTTTTACATTTGAAATAACACAACAAAAGAAGTTACTCACATCTACATGAAGCCACATGTCGTATTTTTCACAGATGTCAGCCAGAGGATGAATAGGATCAAAAGCACCAAGCACCGTGGTTCCAACTGTACAGTTGACAAAAAACGGTCTTTGACCTTTGGCTTTTGCCTCACGAACTCTCTTTTCTAACTCTGCTGGAATCATTTTACCCCTGAAAAACACCTAACCGATTAATGAAAAAAAAGGATCTTATATTTTAATCATAACAAATGCTTAAAATGCAGGAAATTCAATGGTATAAAAATCTTTAGTCTACTTCCTATATCACAAATTCCTGTTCAAAAGTAAAAACATTTTATTGTCCACACTAAAGAATAACTTCTAAAAATACGATACTTGACTAATAGAATTAAATTATAACATTAACTACACCTAATGAATAAAAGTAATGAATCGGAACCAACTTCTGTCATATGTATGTATGCTTAAATAGATTACACAATGTTTTATAATTATGACCCAAACTCAACTGCCAGTTAAAATAAGATCTACTAAGAGTACAGCTAGTAGTGAGGTACTTCTTTTTCATTGTTCCCAGAGGTTACTTGTCCAAGAAGGTATCTTCAATAGGAAACTGATTCAGGTAACTTGATACTAAGTACCTCAAGACCAATCTTTTTCATTGTTCCCAGAGGTTACTTGTCCAAGAAGGTATCTTCAATAGGAAACTGATTCAGCTAACTTGATACTGAGTACCTCAAGACCAATCTTTTTCATTGTTCCCAGAGGTTACTTGTCCAAGAAGGTATCTTCAATAGGAAACTGATTCAGCTAACTTGATACTAATGGTCTTAAGGTGCTTAGTATCAAGTTAGTTGAATCATTTCTTTTTGGAGATACCTTCTTGGACAAGTAACCTCTGGGAACAATGAAAAAGAATGGTCTTTAGGTACTTAGTATCAAGTTAGCTGAATCATTTCTTTTTGGAGATACCTTCTTGGACAAGTAACCTCTGGGAACAATAAAAAAGAATGATCTTGAGGTACTTAGTATCAAGTTAGCAGAATCATTTCTTTTTGGAGATACCTTCTTGGATAATTAACCTCTGGAAAAATCATTTTCCTATTGGAGGCACCACCTTCGATGTGTGAACACGCGGAACAACAAACATGCAATCTGACTTTGTATTTTATGTAACTTCAAGTTTTGTGAAAGCATGGTTGTTCAAAAGTTCAAATCAAAAGGTAGTAACTTCATTGATGGCATACATTTATATATCACGTAATTCATACATTTATATGTCACATAACTCATACATTTATATATCACATAATTCATACATTTATATGTCACGTAATTCGTACATTTATGTATCACATAATTAATACATTTATATGTCACGTAATTCGTACATTTATGTATCACATAATTCATACACTTATATATCACATAATTCGTACATTTATATATCACGTAATTCATACATTTATATGTCACGTAATTCATACATTTATATGTCACGTAATTCGTACATTTATATGTCACGTAATTTGTACATTTATATATCACATAATTCATACATTTATATGTCACGTAACTCATATATTTATATATCACATAATTCATATATTTATATGTCACGTAATTCGTACATTTATATATCACATAATTCATACATTTATATGTCACGTAATTCATACATTTATATGTCACATAATTCATACATTTATATGTCACGTAGTTCATACATTTATATGTCACGTAACTCATACATTTATGTATCACATAATTCATACACTTATATATCACATAATTCGTACATTTATATATCACGTAATTCATACATTTATATGTCACGTAATTCGTACATTTATATGTCACGTAATTCGTACATTTATATATCACATAATTCATACATTTATATGTCACGTAATTCATACATTTATATGTCACGTAACTCATACATTTATATGTCACGTAATTCATACATTTATATGTCACGTAACTCATACATTTATATGTCACGTAATTCATACATTTATATGTCACATAATTCATACATTTATATATCACATAATTCATACATTTATATATCACATAATTCATACATTTATATGTCACGTAATTCGTACATTTATATGTCACGTAATTCATGCATTTATATATCACGTAATTCATACATTTATATATCACATAATTCATACACTTATATATCACGTAATTCGTACATTTATATGTCACGTAATTCATACATTTATATATCACATAATTCATACATTTATATGTCATGTAATTCATACATTTACATATCACGTAATTCGTACATTTATATGTCACGTAATTCATACACTTACATATCACATAATTCGTACATTTATATGTCACGTAACTCATACATTTATATGTCACGTAATTCATACATTTATATGTCACGTAACTCATACATTTATATATCACGTAATTCATACATACATTTATATGTCACGTAATTCATACATTTACATATCACGTAATTCGTACATTTATATGTCACGTAATTCATACACTTACATATCACATAATTCGTACATTTATATGTCACGCAATTTGTACATTTATATATCACATAATTCATACATTTATATATCACATAATTCATACAATTATATGTCACGTAATTGATACATTTATATATCACGTAATTTGTACATTTGTACGTGATATAACTTATCCTTCTAGCCTGGACTTAATAAACTCAACATAGCTGGAGAATCGACGTCAGAAACCATACATGAAGTATGTAGTACCGCAGAAATAGCAACCCCAGTTTGTCCATCACGAATATAGACTTATCTTAAATGCTTCAATATTTGCACGAGGTATGATTATTATCATATTAAATTATGTTATTGATGTATCAAGTAAACTAATATTCCAGTGCTCGTACATATTCCAAATTACACTGTAATTGGGGTAACTAATCTTTCATGGACACACAGAGATCTGTGATCGGAATGTGATGCCAAAGAAAACTCCTTCTGTACAGGCTTTAACGTATTAATGTTGAAAAATGAAAGGCCTATTTCTTACCTACGACTTGTCAACAGTATCTTTAACAGATGTTACAACAATACCTCTTAAATAAATGATGCCTCTATAGAGCTATATACAAACTAAACACAGCATACAACAGATACCAAGGATTCGCTTTATTAATCACACATTTTTCGTCAAATATATAATTATAAACAGAAAAGAAAACACCGGAAATATTTACATTTTCTCATTATATCGTTTCAATAGAAATGAATTCCGTAAAACAGACAAAACTTTTAGTCAGTGAAATGTTCTTAGAAATTCAGGAGTTTTGATTGTTGTTTTTTTCATGTTGATTATCAGCAACGTAACATTCTAACATTAATGATAATTAATAGAAGCATGGTTGGCGAGTATGAACTGTGAGTTAACATTAATGATAATGGACTCGAATTGTACTCCTTTCCTTAGTCGATCTTTCAACAAGAAATTATCTTTAAATCCTCGTTTGGTACCGTGAATCTTAAAAAGGAAAAAGGTGTTTAATGTTAGTTGTACGTAAGTTTTGTTACTCTTGAGTTTTCTTAAACTCATCAGATGAAAACGAAATAAAAGGTATCATTACACGCTTTTATCACAGTTTTATAAAATGACTCAAAACGTTAGTTTCATAAAACGACTCAAACTGTTAGTTTTATATAACCACTCAAACTGTTTGCCTTATATAACGACTCAACGTGTTAGTTTTATAAAACGACACAAACTGTTAGTTTTATAAAAAGAATCACATTGTTAGTTTTATATAACGACTCAAGTTGTTAGTTTTATAAGACGACTCAAACGGTTAGTTTTATAAAAAGAATCAAATTGTTGGCCTTATATAACGACTCAAAATGTTAGTTTAATAAAACGACACAAACTGTTAGTTTTATAAAAAAAATCACATTGTTTGCCTTATATAATGACTCAAAGTGTTAGTTTTATAAAACGAATCACATTGTTAGCTTTATATAACGACTCAAGTTGTTAGTTTTATAAAACGACACAAATTGTTAGTTTTATAAAAAAGAATCACATTATTTGCCTTATATAACGACTCAAAGTGTTAGTTTT